CGTCGGGGGGGGGAGAGGGGGGGAAGCAACTGAAAATTAATTTCTTCATTCTGGCTTATTGATTGGGTCGCATCATGTTGGCTCTCCTTAGTTTTACTTAATGCCTGCCCGTTCGCTTGTGGGGGGGGGGGGGGGGTACCTGACATGGGTGGAACCAAATTTGGTTGCCCTCTTGCTCAACAAGCGGCAGCGACGCGGCGCGGCGCGGGCGGCTCTATCGCGGCCATTCGGGGGGCGGCCCCCCCGTCGGGTATAAAAATGCTTTTTAATTAGTGAAAAACAAATGTGCCTTGTCATTGTCATATCAATGGATCAACTTTATTCAATGCTATAATTTGTATAGTTTATATTTCATTGTTTGGCTTGCCATTAGTCGACAAGATGTACATGTCTGTGAACTATAAACCTGACATGTTAAATTTGTTATTTGTAAAGAAACGCATTCACCAGTCGAACGAATAAAAAAATGTGCGGAATTCAATGAATGCAGCATTCTCGTTCAATGAGTTAATATAATTGGTAAATGTATTAAAATTTATTGAATTATACTATTAAAGTTTAATAACATTTTGCCAGTTGAGCAATTCCATGCGTTATTTTATCAGCCACATTCCATTGCCTGAACTTTTGGGTATAGCAAATTTAGTCGCAGTCAGTTGGGCTTTGCGAAGTTAAGTATGAAATTACGACACACCCCCACTCGCTCGGTCTCAGATACTCGTACAGCGGGATGTGTGTAATGCTGGCATACAAATACAGAGAGTTAGCTATTAAACATATTTGACTTGCCGTCGAAGTGAGCAAAACATATACACACACGCCCACACACACCCACACACACATGGACACCTCTTGTCGGCTGCTGAAGGATGCTCCACTCTCTTGAGCGTGTGTGTGTGTGTGTGTTTGGGTGTATGATAATAATTCAACAAATTGTTGTTTAACAAGGAGAGACAGCCACAGTCGCGCGACTGCTGGAGTGGGTGCCACTCCCACTGCCACTGACACTGCCACACTGCCACACGGCCTCGGCTCTCGAGCCTCAAGCCTCTGCACCGCGCGTCGTGTTAATCGCTTTATATGCAGCGAGAACGAGCACGAGTGCGGGTAGATGTCTTGTTTTAATGCAGCCACTGGTTCTCGTACCCCTATACCCCCATACAACCACCTCACTTGTATGTGTGAGTGTATTTGTGTGCTTGTTTGCGTACAAGGTCCTAGGGCAATACACGCACAGATGCCGAAATATCTTACCTTCCTTTCATGAAATGAAACAATTAGGAGAAAAAGTTGCTTCGTGCTAAGGACCCTTTCCTTTCTCAACCCCACATCCCCCGAAACGCCTTGTGGGTTTTTTGGATATCCCAACCCTTTTTATAGCTCGGCAAACATGTGTATGCTTGTAAACAAGCCTCCTGTATGTATATACATACGTGTGTGTGTGTGTGTGTGGAGGTTTGTGTCTCTGTGTGCGTTTAATGACAAAATAATTAGAAAACTTTTTGTGTACTTTGTAGCTGGAGCTGAGTCCGTATCGTAGTTGCCTGCAAACCAGCCTGCCCCTGCTTGCCTGAATGCCTTCCTGCCCCACTTCGCCCCTGTCAATGTCACCGCCAATTTGCTACTTCTGCTCGCCTGTGGGCCAGGCTACGGCAACGGCTCCAGCTCCCCGCCCAAAGCTGTTTTTCTGGCCTTACACAGGCTCGTACATCTGGAAATTGCTATAGGAAAATCAAGAGAGCTGGCGCCGGCCTCGGTGTCTTTGCAAATTACCAGTCGGGGGTTGCGACATTGACACCTGAGTGGTGCAGGGCGTACAAACAGCTTGTTCGGGAGAGGAGAAGCAACCTGAATGCCAACTAAATGTTAAAAATTTCAACAACGCTGACATACAATATTTCTGTGCCTGTGTCCCACAGCCTACGCGATTGCTTAACGTATTATTTTGTCTCTTTCATGTTGTGTGGGTATGGGGGGAGAAGATTAAATGGCTCAAAGCAGCTTATTGCTTAGGCCGCTTGGGGGCTGGGTGGATTTGCTATCGGTTTTTAATTATCCCTGAATGAATGCAATTTGTATTAAATGGAGACCACCGCAAGCCTGCGGTGTGTGACTAATGCGCTAATCTCTGGGGAGGGGCAAGCACTCATTTGTCAGAATATTTTATTGGATTGAGCCACCAGCCACTTGGCGTTTAGTTATTAAACACTTCAACATATGGCGCCGCCAGGAGCCGAGCTGGCCACGGCGAATGCTGCCACAAAAACTTTTGCCAGACAGACGGAGAAAATTGAATACAGTGCAAATACAATATACGTTCGGGCCAGACCGTGCCACTTTACTTTGGTCTGAAGCTCTGGAAGCGAGGATTCCGTGCTGGCTTACACTGCGTATGCGTATCGCTGGAGTCGCTCGTCACGAAACTAACTGCTTACTGGTGGTGGCTTGCTGCCTGCCTGCCTGCCTTCCTGCCGTCTGGGTGGATGGATGTAGGGGTGTGTACGTGTAGGTGTTTTTATTGAAGTGCGTGGGGCGAAACACTTTAACTCGTTGTCCAAATAGCTGCACGACACTGCGAGGAGCCTGCGAGGATTGCTAACCAACAAAACGTGCTGTCAAATCGATGACTGGTCATGGCCCGAGCAGAGCCAACAGCTCTCTGGTGATACCACAAAGTGTGCTGCCACAAAAGAAAATAGCACAAACGTATTGTTTTCAACTTGAAGCATAAACTTTGTGAGCACCGGAAGTAAAGAGAAGGTATCCCCAACATTTGATTCTAAAGCCTGCCTTGAAGGCTTGAGTATGATCTCCGATTCAGATATGCTCGTAGCAAAAACAATCCATAGAAGATAGTCAGTGCTGCCGTAACGACCACGTTAATGTACGCAAAGAGGAGATGGCAAAAGGTTTTTTGGTCACATGAAGAGCTTTGACCAATAAATTCTAACATGAGCGCATATACACATACGTACGTATATATACATACATACATACATACAAATGCTCACATACGTTTCCAAGTATTTGCACTGACCAAAAAGGGAGGAGTAAAAAAACATTAAGCTAAAGGCAAACTTTGTTCCGGGCTCCACGTGCTCTGCAAGCAGCCAGGCAGGCAGGCAGGGAGGCAGCCAGGAGCTAGTTGATTTTCAACAGTTGAGTTGAGTTTATTTTGCTGCTACTGTTGGCTGTCCAGGTGAAAGGCAAGCAGCAGCAGCAGCCCACATTGCATACATTTTTGCTGCGTGCCTTGGTTGCTTTTTTCTCCCTTTTGCTGGCCCGGCCAACTCGAGCGTAAAATGTTGATGAAGTAACCGCACATGTTTGCCGCTTACCGGTTGCTGCGTGCCCCTAAACTGGCTTCACCTCAAGTGGGTGTTTAGGCGCAAAGTTTTGTTCTGGTTTGTGTAGGGGCAGGGGCAGGGGCTGTGTGTGGCCGGTGTCTAAGCGCAAATTAGTTTGTCCAGCAAGAAGCTTAGCAGAGGGCCATGTTTATGGGGCCAAAAGTTTGGGTTAGTGCAACATGCAGCAAACCCATGTTCTGTTGAGTTCCTTTCTTTTTTGTGTGTGTGTGTGTTTTTGTGCCACTTGTCCCATATATTGTACGTATGCACACATATAAATAAAGCGATAACAAAAAAATGCCCCAAAAACAGTGAGCGCACGAAGTGGAGAGAGAGAGAGTGGTGGCGAAAGAGAAAAGTTTGCAACTAGAGCATGTCATGATGCACGGCCACGCCACCATAGATGTGATGCACATGCCTCGTTACCGAAACAACCATCAAAACAAGTGAAACAACGGACTCAGATTCGGGTTCGGATTCAGATTCGGTTTCGGATACAGTTCCAAGGACAATGTAACCATGTTAAACAGCAATCAGAGTGGAAATACAAACCACTCGCTGGTAATTTTGCATGCAACGCTTAATGCTTGTGGCGAAAGTGGCGTTGATTTCGGCAGACAACTTTTTCCTTTTCTTTTTTTCATTCCCTCCACCCATTCCCCCACCCCCCCTTTTATTCAGTTTTTTTTTGTTCGGTTTGTTTCGGGTTTTTTTCTGCATTACATTTCCCTTCCAAAACAGTGTCGCTAAAGTTTTTGGGGAGAGGCCCTCGGCAGCGGGCCAAATTAAACGAAATGTATACAAAATTTGCTGCAGCGGCGTTGCTGCACTCGAAATTTGAGTGAGTGGCTGCCTGCATAAAGAAGCACCAGTGGGTGGTGGGACGAAGGCTGCGCAGGCAGGGTCTGGTCTGGTCTGGGATATGCAGGCAACCGTGGCGTGAGATGTTTGCCAACATGTACAACAATGTGGTGTTGTTGCTACGGGCTGTGCCTCCTAGTAGTTCTCGTGCTGCTTCTGCCTCTGGCAATGGCTGTGGCTCTGGCTCTAGCAATGCTGCTGCTGCTGCCGCGTTGTCTAAAGTTTGAAGTGCGCATAATAAGCCAGTCAGAGGAGCACCGAGAGAGGTGCCCCAAACTATGCCAAATTAGGCACTGCAGATAGTGCGCCGTGCCCCAAAATGTAGGCAACAGTTTGCACCATGGGATGTTGATGAGGTAAAGAGTGCTCAACGGATACGGCGGGGGGCAGAAGAGTTCAATGAGCCCGACATTATTGTGTTTCTTGTTAGCTTTGGAAAGTGAAACTAATTTCCGTTTTCACGTGGGTGGGGGGTAATGAAGAATGTAGCTGAAGACTTAGAGTTCAAGTACGAGTGTTTGCGCTACTTTCGGCACAGTTTTTATATGGGTCATACTATATATACCCCTTATATAAAAGAATGGACTTAAGAAGAACAATATTTGTTAAGGAAACACAGCTATCGAATCATCTTTATTAAGTATCCTTTTTTTTAGCTCATTAGCGCACATGCAATCGGATAATTTGCTAATCTACTTAAAAATGATTTTGTGAATTTCCCCCTTGGCAAAAACACACACAACTTATAATTCTCTCATCTTTTCTTGTCTCCCTCTTCTTCTGCAGTAAATTGGAATCGGAAAGTGAAAAGCTGAGGAACTAAACAATGCAACAATTGGAGAAATTCGCGCACCTCAATGCCACGAAATGGCAGCAAAATCAGCAGCAGACTCGCTGAAGTTATGCCCCGGGCAAGAACTGTAAATGAAACAACTTAATTAGTAGTTGAAGGTCTCGAGGAAAGCGGCACGCGCTTCGTGCCCAGAATCAGCTCAGCTCAGCTGCTCAGCTCAAGGAGGAGCAAGTCGGCATTACAACGAATTTTAGGAAATATTCGCCCATGCTGCTTCATTAGTGCGAGCGAAAGGTTTAATGCCAGCGAATGCTGGAGTCGTCCCAGCAGTGGCACGACCCCGATCCGGGCATCCTTTGAGCCTCAGCAGCAGGAAAAACTTTTGTTTTCGCGCTCGTGTCTCAGTGTTAGTGAGTGTGGGTTTGTGTGTGAGTGAGAGAAGCTGAATATTTTTTGAGAAAATTAAATTGAAAACAACATCAGCAACACACAATCCGCAGCCCCAGCGGCAGCGGCAGCAAAAGAAACGAGAGTTAAAACTCGTATATACCACGAGCACAACCTGCATATAAATTATTATACTCCGCACAATGGATTTGGTAAAATTGAAAGCAAGAACGAACCGAACTAAGAGGACTTCCACAATGCACGTAACAACTTCCTATACCAATACCAATGCCAGACGGTGCTGGCAGCGCCATTTGGCTTTATTCACGCTCTTCCTATTTGCGGCTCACATCAATATAACTTCCGGTCAAATCGATTGGGACGACGACGACGATCCAGGTGAGTGGGGGGAGCGAATACTCGAATTCGAATATGAATGAAAATGTGATTAGAATGCAAAGTTAAGCAAAACAATCCACAGAACGACAGCAAAAGCTGGCTACTCCTTTTTCTTTTTCCTTTTACCTTTCGCCGGTTACGTTGTTATCCTGCGCTCACCTTGAGCGCAGTGATTTGCATAAATTGCAAATCGCTCGTGGTACTGACAGTACAGCACTGCTGCCTGCTGACACGAGTTCAATAGAGGGAGCAATGAGTGGCGGACAAAAAGAGCTAGAGTCGACCACAGAAGCGATTTGCAATTGAGTTTTGGTTATGTTTTTGTAATTAAGTTTAATTACTATTACGTATACACCGAGGATGCTTGAAGTTGGCCAAGCAGAGGACACAAAACAAAGAATGGGGTGGATAAGGAAGGGGAACTCGAACAGGAACACGAAGGGGTGTTTTAATTAATCGCAGATTTATGGCTTGAGGTGTGTGTGTGTGTGTGCTGTGTGCTGTGTCTGTGCGGCCATATAAATGGAATTTTAATTATTCAAAAGCTACAATTAAAATATTTAATGAATTCATAAGGCTGACAGTTTAATTGCAAGAGTTTGCCATAACTTGGCCATCACTGAGGAGAATATTTATAGAAAGTTCTAAATCCAAGGCGGGCGCTGCCTCTTCAGAACAAGCCGAAGGACACGCCCAGAGGCTTTGTGGCTGATACCTGTTGGACATGTCCATTTATTTACTTATTTATTTATTTATTCCCACAGTTGTTATGATTGAAACGCAGCTGTGAGCTGAAAGTCCAATCTAATTGCCACACCACACTTCCCCCCACTCAGTGGATGAGCCACAAGCCATTAACAGAAATATTCATAAACTTTTGCCAGAGTTTTCACTTTTTGTATTTTTTTTTATTTTTTTCACTCAACAAAATTCATTGGTATAATTAATTTCGGTATGAGCAAACGCTTTCACGACACTTGAACCACACCCAATGGCCTTGGTGTAACCTCAGTTTTCTATTTTCTGATCAAAACGAAAGTCCTTTGTGTGCTTGGGGGGCTAAATCACACGGTTTGTCTCATTTATCGATTTTCGCCCCATTGTGCGGGGCCCCCTTGGTGCTCGGGCCGTGCCGCACGCTTTTAAGCTAACGATGCAAACTGAAAATGTTGACAACAAACATTTTTCAAGCTGTGAGCGGTGTGCTCTGCTCTGCTCTGCTGTGCTGTGCTGTGTTGTGTTGTCCTTGTTGCAAGGTAGCCGAGCCTTAAACAAATACATGCTGGTGCTTGTATCCTCCGTGTATTTGTGTATCTGTGTATGTATATTCCCCATGCACACGTGTGTGTGCTTAGATAGAAATAGAATCAGACGGGACGTACGGGCTGTGGGCAACCCGCTGTGATTCCATTTGGGCTTGCCTCACCGTACACCGGTGGCTACGCTCGTAGTACTTGTAGCAAGGCAACTTATAACAGTTGGGTTATGGTATGGTTTTGCATAAAATTTCAGAACAAAATGCTGCGATATGAGTCAAGGCTAAGATTAGCGTTCGCGTGAGCCAAGGCCAGGCTTGTCCTGTCCCGTCCTGTGCTGGGCTGATCTTAAAGCACCGTTTTGTACCACTAGCCGGAGAGATGCTGCATGGCGGCTGTGGAAAATTACAAAATTAATCCAGAGAAGGGAAAAGTAACAAAATAAAAATGCCACAAATTTGCAGGGACAGACACAGTGTATGGGGCGGGCCCTGGGTCATAAACAACTGGGCTCCCCGGCCCCCGTACCAACACTGTAAAATTATGAAATCATAAAAATATTTTTACGATTACATAAAAAGTTGCGAAAATGTGGGCGTCGCATACAATGTATGTACGTTTCCCTAGACAAGGCAGGAAGCGTTCAGCGAGTCTTGGCTTGGCCCTGCCTATGGCTCCGGGCTCTGGGCTCTGGTTCTGGCAATTGCGTGATAGTATAAAATTCAACTTTAGACATATGACTTCATTATTTATCAAACTGCCAGACTTGAAAGCTTCGAATGGGAATGAGTGGAGAGCGGATAGCGAATAGCAGAGGCCGCCTGAAATAGTTGAGCCCCCAAACACATAGCACCGAACCATACCCATAACCATGCCACTACCACTACCCATACCTATAACCAAACCCAACATTGACCTGTGGCAGGGACAAAGACCCAGTGCCATATATTCAAATTACGTATGTCGCAGTGCTTGGAGAATGTTGCAAGAGGAAAAACCACATTTGAGCAATTTCATTAAAAATGTGATACACACATACACACACACACACTGACATACGCAGACCAGACCCATACATGGCCATGTGCCGAGCCGATTCACATGTGTGTGGGGACGCTTTCTGGTGGTATTTCATTTGCTGAACTCTGCGGCTTTAACCCTTATTAGCCTTTGCTGCTCTTGCCCATAATTCATGTTGTTTTCATTTGTTTTGATTAGCAAATGAATGCCACTCGGTCCTGCGGCTTGGATTGTTAGCCAGCGAATTATAACGTGACTCGCGCCGCCAGGCCACTAAAATCTGAGCTTTTCGCCTCTGTCTCGTGCTTCGCTTCGCTCCGCTCCGTGTGCGTGTTGTGTTTCACATGCCACGCAATCCCAACTCCGGTACTGTTGGAGCACAACACATCAGAACAAAACACGAAAATAAGAGAGAGAAAAACTCGGAGCAAAGGCAGAGGGAGAAGAAGAGAGCCGAACGCGTTGGGCATAAAAATTTTAATTTATGCCGTGTTGAGTGCGTTATGCCCCAGTTCCCTACAAGTGTGCCTACTTTAGATCTCTTCCATATCACTCAATGTACAATGTATGCAGATAGAAAGCCGGCACCTTTACAGACACACTCACACAATGAGACCTTGCCCCTGCCCCTGTCACAGCTACAGCTCCTGCCCCCAAGCCAAACCACAAATCGGCACTTCTGGTTCGCTCTCTCCATAGCTCATTTTGCTGTCGTTCGGTTGGAGCGCTGGAAAATGTTGGATTTGGTCTAGGCACGCGAGGGCTTTCCATTTCTTTGCTAATACTACGACACCGGGGCGGCCGTGTATGAAAAGCAGAAGGGAAGCAGAAGGTGTCCCCCCGGCCGCAAATATGTTAAAATTATAATTCATGTTACATATTTGATGAAACACATTCAATCATTCGCCTCCATTCGCCCCAACCACAGGGCATGGCCACCGCAACCCAATAATTACGCATTTCGCTTTTCGCAGTGTGTATGGTTATTTTTAATGATAAATGACCTGGCCCAAAGTGTTGGAAATTTTTCGGAGCTTATGCCGAATATATTACCTGAATGGTGTTTATGTGTTGGGTGTGTTTCTCCACCGCTCTCTCTCTCCTCACTCACAGTTGGTAATTTTCTGTCAAAAATACTTAGCGGCAACAGCGTACATATGTATGTATGTATATATGTAGCTATGTATGTATGTACATACTCATGCAAAGCAAGAACACGGAGCTCACAAGGTGTATGGCAACGCAATTTGTCATTTGTCAGAATCTAATGCAGTTAATAATTAGCTAAGCCGACTAATGGGAAAGCGCCTCGATTCCTCTTGACAATGTAAGTCTTGACTCTCTCACCCTCTCCCTCTTTCCCTCTCACTCTCTGTTCACGGTGTCTTTGCCTGCCGTTGGGCCATTAGACGAGCCAAGTTACTCGAAAGTTACTGGAAATCCTACTGGGAAATCAATGGATGATTAATTGCTTTAGCTACTCGAAGCTACAATGTTGTGCTTAAGGGGTTTTCTATTTATGCAGAGTAGGTACTAATAATACGTATTACAAGTCTATTTATTTTCCTTATTATAATTATCACTATATATATGGAAGCCACTTTTAGACACTTCGCTTTGCTAAAGGGCTAAACTAATTTGGGTTCATTGAAACCTATTATGTACAGAGTTCTGTATGCATTTGGTATTTAAATCCCTTATCGAAAAATGTCGACGACTTTAATTTACAAAGTAAAATCTGAAAGTCAATGTAACTCTGATTTGCATACTAAAGAGAATACTGACTGTTGACAACATCAATGTGCTTATCCAGTGATTTAGGTGGCTTAAACTCAGCAGGGAAATTTTCCCTGACAAAGGGAATATCATTTCAGATGTCATGTTAAAGGAGAAGAACTCAAAAAAGCGAAAAACTACTCGTAGGACGAAGAGAACACGCGAAATGCTAGACCTCCGCGTCCGTCCTGCCGTCCTTCCGTCCTGCCGTCTGACTGTCGCAGCAGACACGCTAAAACTGTTCACTTTTGTGAAACGTATAAATTTTCTATTGATTTATGCCAAGTTTGCATGCCATTTTTTTCGTTTTGCATAATTTCTGCTGTTGGCCAAATTGCACTCAGCAGAAGGGCCAAAAAAGAAGAGCAGTCATCAGAGGCAGAGAAACAGTTTTTGTGGCACGGGCCAGGGGCAGGCAGCGAGAGGAAGAGGCAGAAACAGACGCAGATACAGAAGCCCGCCGCCCGGTGGCGGATGGTATGGTCGAGGACGACCAGAGCAAACACAATTGTTGCGATTGCGACTGTCGCTTCGCGGTCATGGCTCTACTGCTACTTACTAACACAATGGCGAATGCAATTTCGAGTGAGACTGCGACTGCGACTGCTACTGCCACTGCCACATCGCTTGTGAGTGTGAGTGAGGCTGTTACTGCGGCAGTTACAGTTGCGTTACAGCAGTTACAGCCGCGCGGCACTGGCATGAATTGCGATGATGGAGTTATCCATTTATACTCGCATTTGCATAGAACGAGTGCCGAGCGGCGTGCGGCGTGCGTCCTGCGACGTCTGTGATTGCCGCTGGGCAAGACGCAGCGCTGACACATGACATGGAAAAATGAAAACGAAGCTCGTCGTGTAACCAGTCTCTAGTCGCTGCCGCTCTCTCTATCTCTCTGTCTCTCTGAGCCCAGAACAAATGGCCAAACAGTTGGTGCAGTCTTTGACA